TAGTACCTTCTTAAACAGGAAATAGATTGTGTTAGAGGGTGGATGTCCAGCGGCTGGGACCCAGTGCTCCCATGGGTGATGAGGACACATTTTATTGCCCGGTCTGCATGCTGTCCTCCTCTCTCCCCACAGAGATGAGCCGTTGGACTCTGGAATTGTGAGTGCAATTGACGTGAAATCACTGCATCTCTATCCACAGATGCTTCCTCACTTGGTTCTGGCTGAGGAGAAGGCTGCGGCATCCCAGCCTTGCTGATAACGTCCTCATTGAGACTTTTGTATTCTGCTGGAAATTCTAAGCTTGAAAATTAAAATCCTTCATTTGGGGAGAAAAAAAAGAGAGAGAGAGAGAATTACACTGGCAAGCCGGAGAGTGTAAGCTGCACACTGCTAAGTTCCACCAGGCTCCTGAGCAGACTTTGACACTCAGAGAGAATATTTATGGACGGGAATCCAGGGTGCAGACTCCTCGGTGGGGAGAGGAGGAGAGTCGGCCAAGGTGGAAAGCCACATGTCTGAGGATGTTACTGTGAAGGTTTAGCTTCTGTTTTGGGTGAAGAGTCTTCTGGATGTTTATTCCATTACTAAAAATACCTCATTATACGGGCTGGAGTGATCGCTTAGTTGGTAAAATGCTTGCTTTGCAAGCAGCAGATCTTTGAGTTTGATCCTGTAGAATGCATCGCAAACAAACAAACCAGCCTACCAGGTGGTGGCATACACTTGTCATCCCAGTGATGAGGAAGAGAGTGGCAGACACCTGGGGCTCGATGGCCAGCCTACTCTAACCTACCCCAAGGGATGTAGGTAAACTGTAGTTTGAAAATCAAGGTGGGTGCAGGCTTGCAGGGTGACAGCTGAGGTTCTCCTTCGCTTTCCACATTCATGTACGCACAGGGCATCCTAGCCGCCACCTAATACACAATACACTTGCACACACACTACACTACACACATACACACACGCACACTCACACGCACACCACACACACATAATCCACAACATATACACACTCAATACACAACACATACCTGCACACAGGTGCTGATACCTATTACAAAGGTCAGATAAGAGCAGACTGGGCACAGACGTGGTAGGGGTGACTCAGTGTCCAAGGACATCGCTGTGGCCACTTCCACACACCAGAGGCCCAACCAGGAGAGGATGACTTGACGGTTATTATGTCTCCTCAGAGAAAGTGCTCTCTCTCTTTCTTTCTTTCTTTCTTTCCTTCTTTCTTTCTTTCTTTCTTTCTTTCTTTTTTTTTTGGCTTTTCTCCAAGCCATGTTTCCAGCACTACTTTTCTCCTCCATATCAGTAGCAGGGTTACCTGATGAAAGTGACCTTTGTTCCCTCAGCCTCAAGTGCCAGAGACGTGGACTGAGGACAGTCTCACTGAGTCTGGGTGGGCTTTGGGGAAAGGGAGGATCTGATCTGGTAGGACCTGGCCACGGCGTGTGCTGGGGTGGATGGCAGCCCTGTGTAACTGAGATGGCTGGTGTATCACACTGACCCTGTCAGGGAAGCTGACTTGTCAGGGAGGCCGTGGCTCCTGTGGGCTGTAGCTCTCCCTCTCATAATTCTCTGTTTTGGGTACGTGTATCCTTAGCTTCAGTTTGTCAACTTATTAAATACTAGCTAGAACACAGACACAGGCATACACAGAGACACAGAGACACAGATGCAGAGACACACAGACACACAGAGAGACTCGGGCACTCAGGCCTTACACTGGCCAGCATAGAACTGGAATGGAGGCCTGAAGATTCCTTGACTTCACAACGGGAAGGAAAGGGGAAGGAACTGAAGAGATAGACAGATGGGAAAGAGAAAGGGAAGGAGAAAGGGGGGGAAGGGGTGGGGAGAAGGGGGAAGGACAGAAACTGAGGGAAGGAGGGAGGGAGGGAGAGAGGGAGGGAAGACAGAAGGACTCACTCATTCTCTAGTTCCTGCTGCTTTCTGACAAAAGCAAGAACCACACCCAAGCACAAAGTTCTGCTGCTCTCTGGGAGCCTGCTGAATGGCCCTCGTAAGGCAGCTGGCTTTAGCTATCCTTTCTTGCACAGAGTCGTGGGTGCTGGGCAACCACGAGAAGGTGGCAATAATGGCCTGGTTGGCAGCAGCTAGGAGAGAACAGGGTTCCCATCTCCACCAGCACAGAGTAGTTTCCATTCCTGGCTTTAATGCCCAACCTATTTCCTAGGCCCCCAGCTCCTGCTACTTCTTTCCAGCAACAATGGAAACAGGAAAATAAGACCCAAGGAAGAGGGTAGGGGAGACGGGAGCTTGGAAGGACATCCCGCTCACACACTGTAGTTGTGTCCCTTCAGTAGGTTCTGGGCTGGATGAGGTGACTTTTCACAAGGAAGTGATCTCTGTACAATATTTACTCATATTTATGGAACACAGCGTGATGTACATGTGAGCACACGTGACATCACATTCGGGTGATTAGCATATCTGTCACGCTAACATGTCATTTCTCTGTTGTGAGGATCACACAGTCCTCTCTTCCAGCTCTTCGAAACAGACAGTATTATTGTTAGTACACCTCCCTGCCTCTGCATCACCTCTGACTTCTGACACAAGCCTGTCCCCTCTGAGGTCATACAGGAAACAGATATCACTTCAAGGTTAGACAGTCCTCGGGGTAGCAGAAGCCCAAGTTCAAATCTTGCCTTTGTCACTCATTGGCTATGAAACTGAAGTCTGTTTTGCTCTTGGAGCCTCATCTGCAAAGCTACAAGAAGAAACCACAGTACACAGACTCACGAAGCTGTCTTTGAATGTTCCACTTGATCTAGAGTTAGTGTTTGGGGCACAGACAGAAGCAGAAGTTTGGGGGATCCCAGACCCAGCTTCACTTGTGCTAAATATAAGAATATTTCTCATTTAATTTGGCTTGCTCAGCAAAGTAGAGAGACCCTGGTGGACCCCAGAAGTCCTTTGCTGAGCTGATATTGTGGACACCCTCCCTTCCCCTTCCGCTTACAGAGAGCCGTTTTAGAAGCAAACAAAACATGCAAAGCTTTTCGGGATGAACAATGGGCCAGCTGGCGATGCTGGTGGGAAGAAATAGAACATGATAAACAGCTTCCTGCTGTGACTCCTGATCAATTTCAATATTTAATAATTCCATTGCCACCCCACCCACTCATCTGGCCCCCTCTACAGAATCCTGCGACAGCACCCAGCTTTAGGCTTGAGGCATAAGCTCTTCTTCCCTTTCTGAGGGTGTCAGCAAAATGTGAGTGTGACGATGCAGCTCAACTGCCACATGGGCTCGCTCTGTCCTCGAAATGATAATTAACCTGCCTACGTGTCCTGCAGGCGTGCCCTCCTCCCCACGTGACAGGGAGGCCTCGAGCACAAGATATAGGCTCACCTGGTTGATTCAATGACTGCTACCATTCCTGACTTTTACTTTTGAATTAAGGGGGTCAGCAGGTAGACCAGCCATCTTACCACCCCCTTACCCCCCCACCCCTGCCACAATAATGGGTAGGAGGAATTGATCCAGACAGGAAGCCCAGGTGCACTGATGGTTGAATACTAGTCTACCAATAATTGCCTCTCAGCCGCAGTTTTCTCCTCTGTACAATGGACACAATCAGACCTGTCTCCAGAATTGTAGCTGGTGTCACACATGCAAAGCATGCAGCAGTGCTCAGCATGGAGGCAATAGTCAACACATGGTATCAGGTAGCATCTTTATCAAACATGATGCTAAACAGCACATGGATTTCTGAGTCAGCACTATGCAGAGGATGAGCTGGCTACACCCTGTGGTTGGCATTTCTAGCCCACATGGGGGTGTGAGATGGTCGCATAGCCTCTCCTGAGAGTCTCTTCAGCAGTAAGAGAGAAAGAATCCATTAATAGGATGAACCACCCTGAATGGTCAGCAGTGACCCCAAATGCATTAGTAGCCACTAGTGTATGAGCCCTCAGGGCCATCCGGAGAACACAAGCATTAGTTTTACAGCTGAGAAGCCCCAGGGTTGGAGGTGATGGTGACAGGAGATGGTAAAACCAGTTCTCATCCAGATCCCTCAGCTTCTGATGTCAGGTCCTCTCCATCCAACCCCAGCAGGTGTGGCCCTTCCGTGTGTGGGAGTGACAGCATGGCAGAGGGCTGGGGAGGATGGTGCCTGTGTACACCCTGTTCAGCGTCGCCTTGAAACCTTGGTCTCTGGAGCGCTGCTCACTGTCTGTGAAATCAGGCTCCTAATGCCTCTGTGCTGGGTCATGGGGACACTGAGAGAGAGACACTTTGTGATGACCTGTACAAAAGTCAGCTATGGTTACTACACTGTTTGGAGGATGGGGTGGGAAAGGGAAACCTGTCCACTCAAAGGTAGATTCTCCTAGTGGAAGAATCAAAAAGACAAAGAACAAAGCACGGGCTATCACAGTGGCAGTCTTTGGTGTGACATTCAAAGTCTGTCACAACCCAGTCTCCTTGTCCATTTTGTTCTCCTTTGGAGCTGGTTGGGTGTAGCCTGGGCTCAATGGCCTTTTCACGTGTTTATGTGTAAGCAGACCTACACTCCCGCCTGGGCCCACCCTCACCTTGGACACTGGTTTATCCCTTTGCCCTCCTGGGAGGAAGAACACCCATCCTAGTCCACCCCAACCCCTGCTACTTCAGCATCATCTCTCACACGGGTCTCAACTCCACCGAGCTCCTTTCCTGCAAGAGCCAAGCTCTCCAGTCCTCCCAAGGCCTGGCTGCTGTGTGCTCTGAAAACATACGCGGGGCCACAAACCAACTGAGGAACAGCAGCTTACTCCCAGTAGTGATTAAGCAAAGAAAGGAGAGGCTAGGGGTGGGACTGGAATTTGGGGAGGGTTTTCCCAAGCCTTGGTAGCAGACAGTACCTCAGGGCTCAGAGTTTAAATTCTGCTTCATTCCTCTCCCTCCTCCCCTCCATAACATGAAAGGAAGAGAGACGTACAGACCCTTCCCGTGCCTGTCAGGCAAGGCAGCCATCGGGTACCTGTGTCCCGCTGGTCTAGGGTCACCGAGTTCCACTTCCTTGTGATGTCGATGTAGAGGATGTCCACAGCTGCCATGGACAGGCTGCTGCTACTCAGCTTGCAGTTCCTGCCGTGACAGGGAAGAAGACTGTTACTCCAACGGTAGAAACGTCGGCTCTCTTTTTCCCTCAGGCTGATGCAGACTGAACCTTTGTGTGCCCCGGGAATCCACAGGAACAGTCTTTTGAGCTGACAAGGTCATATGGGTGGGGCCCTAGCAGATCAGTTAGTGCCCTGTGCAAAGACACTAAGAGGAGGAGAGCTTTCCTGCCTCCCTGCTTGCTTCTTACCACAGAGAAAGCAGCCATGAGCAAGCCAGGAGTGAGCTCTTAGCAGGCACCTATGTGCCAGCTCTTCAGCTCTGACCTCCCAGCCTCCAGACTGAGAGAAGTCAGCCTCCGGTGTTTAAGCCGCTCCAGCTGCTCCTGTGGGGAACTTGTCTTTGCTCAGGCTACCCCACCGCCTGAATTCCTGGAGGTCAGCTGAGGAACAGTGGGAAAAGATTACGAGTGGAAACGTGGGATAGAGGCCTTAGTCTGGAGCTAATGAGTGGGCTCCAGAGAGCTAGGCAATACACACAGCCATTCTTGAGTGGCTCTGCCACTGATTGAGAACCGGCCTGGGCAGGCCACTCCCTTTTCTACCTTTCAGATTTTAGTGTTTTCTTTGTAACAGCTGGACCTTCAACAGCCTGGAAGACCCTGCCCCCTCCCAAACACAAACCAGACTCTGTTTTTCTTTCTTCTTATTATTTTAATTTTTATAATAGAGTTTCATATAGCCCAGGTTAGCCTCAAACTCACTATGACTGAGGATGATCTCCCTGCTCCACCTCCTGAGTTCTGGGATTACACTTGGTGGTTTTTTTCTTTTGTTTATTATTTACCTATTTTTATTTTTTTATTGAATCTGTGTGAATTTCACAACATGTACTCTAATCCCACTTATCTCTCCTGTCCCTTTATATCTGCTCTCTGCTTTTACAACTCCCCGCCAAAATAAAACAAAAACAAACAAACAAGCATATCATCTTGCCAAAGCTGTGGTGTGTCACACAGTACCCTTTTACCCAAGTGGCTTTTCTTGCAAATGTCCACTGCAGCGACTCAGTCTGGTTCGAGGCCTCCGACTCCTTTAATCACTACTGGATCCTCACTGGGATTCCTCTCAGATAACCTTTTGCTGCCTTGTGTCATGGAGGTCCCGCAGCCTTGGATCTGAGGACTGGTCCCTTCACAGGCTCCAGCAGTTCATAGATGGGGTAGATGTTGGGCTAGGCCAACTCAGAGCCCTGGATCTGGGCCTGGGTGGAAGCTGAGTTGGTCACTCCACCAGCTTTCCTGTGCCTGCACCACCAGGGCCAGCTCTCTGCTTCTCACACCCTTGGGGGCCAGCTCACCCTCACTCCTGCAACCAGAGCCAGCTCTGCTGTGCTGCCCAGGCGAGATGCTGTAGCTGTATGCCTGGTTTTTAAGTGGGGCTGGGAATGGAAGCCTGGCCTCATTCATGCTGGGTAACTATTTTACCAGTGAAGCTATGCCCTACCCTCAGGAACCACGTAGCCAAGAAATACTCCTATGTAGGTGTCTTCGTCTTCTTATGGATTATACCCAGAGTGTGAGTTTGCCCTCTTCTGCCAGTACAAGGCAGCTGTCTGCGTCACGTTCACATGACCTGGTAATGACAGGTCACCACTGAAGCAGACGAAGCCATCACTGTGGTGTGGGAGCCTTTCTTCCTGGATCTCACCAGATGAATCCTTGAGACCAGACATGAACACAAGGGGCTTGGTGTCTCTTTACTTCACTCTCTTACCTTGTCACCTGAGAGTTTTATATAAGTCCTGAATCAGCCACACACAGGCCCAGACTTGCAGAGTAGAAAGCACAGGCTGGGCCCACTTCTCTGCGGAGGTCCTTCCACACCGTGCTGCATGCTTGCTCCCGACCGTCTGGAGCCACGAGGAGGGTGGATACTTCTGATGCTCCTTTTGCTTAGGTGCGGGGAGTCTAATGTCAGCAGTGGTCCTCCCTGTCTAAGCCACAAAGGTGGCCTTTGGAGCCCCTTCCCCTCCACTGACTTATTTGGTCTGGAAAAGTGGGTGGGTGAACAGCAGCTAGATGCTTGGTTGTGGATTGTTTTCTTAAACCTCTGCACACTTTAGTTTCCTGATCTCTAAAATGCAGCTGATACCTGTCCACTGCTGCTGAGGGTGCGGGTGCTGCTGAGGGTGCGGGTGCTGCTGAGGGTGCGGGTGCTGCTGAGGGTGCGGGTGCTGCTGAGGGTGCGGGTGCTGCTGAGGGTGAGGGTGCTGCTGAGGGTGCGGGTGCTGCCTGGTACCTAGAGTCCCGTGGGACTCCTGAGCCCTCATTGCATCTCACTTTCCATTTCCTCTCAGGCCACAAGACCAAGCTTTCATCGCCCCTTTGAGGTAATGAAACCTAGGTCAAAAGAAAAGAGCCCAGGACAACTACTGGCCTGTCTGCCTCCCCTAAACCCCCTCCTGGATATTACTGTTCTGGGAGGCAGAGTTTACTTACCTAGAAATCCTGAAGCTGGACTATGGGCCAGCTGCTGGGGTGTCATGGCTTTATCTAACGCTCTTTGGATAGTTCTAGGGTATCTCATCCATGATCCCAGCTGATGATAAAGTGCTTCTCTGATGTCTCATTTGTCATTGTTCCCTGTGTGAAAGTTCCCAAGGTGCCAGACAGGTGAAGCTTTGATTGGCAAGCATGATTGGCACCCAGAGGCTCCTTTCTAAGTCCAGGCCCACTCCTTAACCATGGTGGCTGTGAGTATGCCCAGTATGGTGTCCGGATGAGGCCATTGCTTCTCTGCCCCGGCACACTTGCTTGCCCTCCCTCCCTTCCCTTCTTCCCACCCGTCTGTATTTTCCAGACCATCAGTTCACATCCTGCTCCATATTTCAATCACGAGCTGCCACGGCAGACTTCAAAGCACATCAGCGCACAGTTATTGCGCCTCGGTAACAACATGTCAGCGGACGCCGAGCTTTTTATGTCACTTGTCACCAAGATGGCTATCTCTATTGGGTTCTGCTGGGGACAGTGCCCTGGTCTCTTGAGTCACACTGTCAATGTATGCTGCTAATTTCCAGAGCTTCATTAAGGCAAGTCCATGCCTTCTCCTAGTAGCCACACCTGCATCCTCTGGACTACCTGCTTCCTGGAAGGATGGAGTGCTGCCTGGCTTGCTCCATGGGTTAACAAAGGATGAAAACAGAAACTGAACTGACCACTGGTGTATAGTTATTTTTTTTTTCCTGACAGGAAGAAAATAGAAGTGTCAAACTTTTAGTAGAAGCCGTAATTTACCAGGGAGCATTCTCCATTTATCCCCTTTCCAAGGTAACCCATCCTCCCCGACAATACTGCCAAATACAGTTGACTACGATGTCTGCAGTCAGAGCAGAGTGGACGGTCTGTGTTAGCTGCAGCAGATGGGAAATGCTTTAAGAGAATCTGGATTCTGTGGGTATTTCTCGGGCACTATCCAACTGTAAGGTCCTTTCTCGCCCCAAGGTCTCAGAATCCTTCTAAGTGTGTGTGAGGGAGGGATGCCCGGTCTCATCTCAGTGAGGGTGGGGAGGATGAGGCACAGAGAATCAGCGCTTGTCAGAGATCACAGGGCACAGTCTGTGACCCATCTCCCCTTGAAGACAGGAGCAGGAGGACGAGCTATGGCCCAGCAAAGGATCCTAGCGGAGCCTAGGACCAAGATACAAAAGTCTCAGTTCACTAACCACAGGCCTGGATGCCTGCTGGGGAGTTTTGAGACCTCACGGAGGCAGAGTCTCACAGGTTTGTCCTCTGGTTACCAGATGTTCTCAGTGAGCTCAAGTAGAGTCTTTAGAATGAGGGTGTTCAGTTGCTGAGCCACTGAATACAGAGCTTGCCTCAGCCATGGTGGGCAACAGTGTTCCGGGCCCAGTGACAGGGTGGCACAGCATGCAGGGGTTATGTGCCGGACATGCAGTGTGACAGCCAGGTCATTCCCACCACGGAGCTCAATCTCCCCTTAAGCCCTGGACATAGCTTATCCAATGACTGGGTGGAAGGGTAAGTCCTTTAGTGGATGTGAAAATCTAGAACCTTTCTAGAAAAAAGATGAAGGTTTGAGACCTTGGCTTTGCGGCATTTCCTTGTGCACATCACAGGAGTTCTCGTTTGTTCACTTGGATGGAGGTCCCAGACGATGCCCTGGCGGTGATGCTCCACGCCTGGCACATGGGGAGAGCTTAAGACAGTGAACGCCTTCCCCAGTGATGGGGAATCAGCTGAAAGAATTGATCCCTCTGTGTTTCTTTTTCTTCCTTTTTTCCTTTTCTTTTTTCTGGAATGGGAGGAGTCAGATTGTACATGTTGGGAGAGAACCACAAATCATTCAAGCTCATTAGGAGCCCGAGTAGAGTGGGTTTGAGATGACCACCCCATTTCCCGCTAACTGCCAATGTCTCATGGGAAATTTAGGGACCAACTTTTTCCACTCCACGAAATTCTATTTATAGAATTTCTTTTATGTTCATCCTTCTCTGTGGAGAAAAAAAAAAGAGAGCAGCTTCCCCACCCCCAGGTTTCTATAAGGTAAAAGGTATTCAAACCACCATATTTATTTATTACAAAAGGGAAGGGAGGCAGATATCTAAGCATTTGGGAGTCGGGGAATGAGGTATCTGTGCTTTAAACCATCCATGGTTTTTAAGGCTACAGAGAAGAAGTGCACAAGGCTTCTGGGAAGGAGTGGCCACAGAAGGACAGTTTCAAAGTCACCAAGGAGTTAATGAAAGGGGGGAAAGCTGTCTTATACTTCTATTCTAGAACATTCTAACAGACCATGCCTCTCAGAGAGAAACCCCCTGCCACTCTCCATTATGAAGCACATTAATATCTCCATACAACAAAGGGGAAGTGGGAAAAGAGACAGGGAAGAACGCGTCCTTTAGTTCAAAAGAAGACATTGGATCAGAAGCAGCGAGAGTGGTGGAGTGGGGTTTCAAAGCACGGTCTCACAGTGCAGGGGCTGCAGTTTCCTGGGAATGGGCCT